TGGCTGCTGCTCCCTGGTGTGGGTTTTGCAAAGTTTGCAGGAAACGGAGGAGAACAGACAGCCGAGCAAGGCACAGCCCCATCTCCCCACCGCCTCGGCCTCCCTCTCCCCCTCCGAGCTGGGTTTGCAGGGGGGAGAGGAAAACCCTTTAGAAATCTTTAGCACGTGACTTCTTCTTTTTCTAAAATACGTTTTTATTGATTTTAGAGAGGAAGGGAGAGGGAGAGAGAAACATCAATGATGAGAGAGAATCATGGATCGGCTGCCTCCTGCACGCCCCCTACTGGGGATTGAGTCAGCAACCTGGGTATGTGGCCTTGACCGGAATCGAACCTGGGACCCAATATATTTTTATTGATCTCAGAGAGGAAGGGAGAGAGAGAGAGAAACATCAATGATGAGAGAGAATCACTGATCGGCTGCCTCCTGCACGCCCCACACTGGGGATCAAGCCCACGACCCAGGCATGTGCCCTTGACCGGGAATCGAACCGTGACCTCCTGGCTCATTGGTTGGCGCTCAACACCGCTGAGCCACACACATGTGGCTTTTTTTTAGTTGTCAGGCGAGGGGGGACATTTAGAAACCTGAGTTCAGGCCCTATCCCACCTCTGGATCTATTAACAACCGGTGCCCTGAGATTTTATTTCCTGAAGATCTCTCCCTCGTGGCACTGTTGTGCAGAAAGAAAGCTGATATTTGTGAACGGCAATCATTACGAAGGTAGTCGAGTGTGACTGAAGGCTTCCCACAGATGCAGCCGGCGCCAAGCACTTCACGTGGAGTAACCTGTTCCGTCCTCGCAGCTGGCTTGACAGGTGGGGAAACTGAGGCCCCAAACCATTGGTGTGGGTTGGCGGGTGAACCCCAAAATCGATGTCAAAACCCCTCAGAGGGAGCGTGGCCCCGCGGACAGCTTGAATTCGGACGCCCGCCCCCCACACCTGAGAACACATGCCTGTTGCTTTCAGCCACCCGGTTTGCAGTCATTCGTTACAGCAGCCACAAGAACTCATACCGTCAGAAAGCTCTAAGTCAGTGGTTCTCAACCTTCTGGCCCTTGAAATACAGTTCCTCATGCTGTGACCCAACCATACAATTATTTTCGTTGCGACTTCATCACTGTCATGTTGCTACTGTGATGAATCGTCATGTAAATATCTGATAGGCAGGATGGTCTTAGGCGACCCCTGTGAAAGGGTCGTTCGACCGCCAAAGGGGTCGCGACCCACAGGTTGAGAACCGCTGCTCTAAGAGAGGAAGCGAAGGCAAAGTTAAGGCTGGCCCTGGCCGGCGTGACTCGGTGGGTGACAGCATCGCCCAGTGCACCGACGGCGGGTGCTCATCCAATCTCATGTCCCATGGGCCCCCGATGTGGGGGTGCGGCCGGTGGAGAGACCGCTCACCGAGGGGACCCGGGCCTCACCTGGGGACTGTGCAGGGAGCTCCCGCTCCCAGGTGCGAAGCCGACTTTGACCTGCCACGGCCTGAGGATTTGTAATAGACGACAATGAATGGACTCTCAGGGCTCGGAGTGAGCCGGTGAGCGGTGAGCGGAGAATAAACAGCCCTTTGTATGTTGCCTGTTCTTCCTGGGTCATCCAATCAGAGACATCGAGGCCTCGGCCACAGCAGCCGGCAGGGAAGGCCGCGATGTGCAAATAGCGGCGATAAAGTGAAATGAGCCTGGAGGTGAACCCGATGAAATCCCGAGGATGGGGGGACCCCTGGCTCTTACAGCCGAGTCTGTGACCGTGGGGGTGGGGAGTGGGGGGAGGGGACCGAACCGGCAGCCGCGGCTCAGAGCGAACACGTGGATTTTCCCT